GAGGCTGCTCGTGGGCTTCGGCTACGTCGGGGCCCTGACGGCGTCGCCACCGAGGCCCGAGGAGCTGGCGGCCAGCCTCGACCATCTGGGCGCGGAGGCGGCGCTGGCCGCGGGCTCTGGGCTCTGGCGGCCGACGACATGATGGAGATCGCGCTGCGGCGGATGGCCACGCACGTGCACGAACAGCGGAGAGGTGGCCGCGCCGGGGCCCAGCATGCTTGGCATATATCCCCCCCGGGCGGATCCACGGACGTAGCGCCCACGCGGATAGTGTCTTCGGCGACGTCGCACTCGATGACGGAGCACCAGAGCGCGAGCGGATGGAGTCCGAGCTGCAGTTGAGGAAAACGAAGGAGGGGGGGATGGGCGAGAGCCGCGGCCGTGGCCGCGGAGGTGGACGCGGTGGGGGAGGCGGGGGCAGGGGCGGCGGCGCCGCCCCCGGCCGCCTCCTGAGGGCGCGGCGCGCGCCCCGACGAGCCTGCCGTCGCGGCGCGGAGCGCCGAGGCAGCGTGGGTGCCGCGACGGCGTGCCACACTGCGCCCCGCGCTGCAGCAGGTGGTCTCGGCACGGCCGAGCAGGGAGCCGCTCCTGCCCATCGCGCTGTCGGGGCGGCCCAAGGCGTTGACGGGCCGATCGGGCAGGCTGCGTCGCCGCTTCAAGTGGTGGCTCGAGCTCTGGGCCCTCGCGAACGAGTGCGCACGCGGGATCAACTCCATGGATGCAGGCTCGCGCGCAGACCCCGTGGCGTGAGTAGCTTGTCGGAGAAGATGCGGGGTCAGCGCGGCCAGGCGCACAGGGCGGACGACGAGAAGCTAAGAGACTGGCAGCGGCGCGCCGAGACATTTGTCCGACTGGCGCCCCAGCGGTGTTGGAGCTAGCTCGCGTGGAGGAGGCGGGGTACGGCAAGCCATCGCGCCCGTCTGCTCGCGAGGGCCTGAGAGCGGGGGACATTGACGAGCCGGAGGTGGAGAGGTGCGCGAAGGTGCTCGAGACTTTCGAGCCAGAGGAGGCCTTGCACTACAGCTGCGAGGAGTCCCACCGAGAGCGGGCCGACTTGCGGAGCCGCGTGCTGCTCGAGGATATGCAGGCGAAGTTCGGGCTCGTGGAGGGCGCCCGCGAGGAGTGCGAGAAGTGCTTCGCCAGAGGGAACCTCCCTCCCAACCTGTGGCACTTCGGCCTGGCCGAGGAGGTGAAGGCCATCGCGGGTGTCAGCGCGGTGGCAGAGAAGACGGGTGGACGCCGACGCGAGGTCATCATGCGGGGGCGAGCGGAGCGCGGACTTCACGGAGGAAGCGCACCGGGTCGGCTCCACATCCCGTCTGACGACGGTGGCCGGGGCATTCGACCAGAGCAACGCCTTCTCGGCCGTGGGGGCGTCGCGGTGGATGTGGGGGCGGCAGGGCGTGCTCCCCGCGAGGGCTGGGGCAGTTTTTTCGCACCTGCCGCCTGGCCTACAGGCCCGCCCGAGCTTCGACGCACGCTTTGTGTATCCGATGCGGAGGCGCCCGGTGATGGGCAGCTCACGCAGCGTGCACATCCTGATGTCGATCAACGCGCGGATCTGCTCGATCACGCTGAGACGGCCCTTGGTGAGTGCTTCGAAGGAGCGTAGTGCAGTGTGGACTAGCACCCGCCGGATGCTGAGTGACCAGAGTTGGGCTGACCGCCGACGAGCTCGCCGGGAAACGCCTCCATTGTCGCAGGACTATTCGGTAGCGAGTTGGGTGGAGGCTGTCAGGCAGGCGCAGCTCGGGGACGGGGGGGCCTTCGCGGTCATGCACCTATTCGGGGGGGGGGGGGGGCGCCGCGACCAGGACGTCCAGCACTACTTGGAGACGATCATGGAGAAGCTGAGCCTGGGGCTCCTCGTGCTCGCGGTGGACCTGCCGGTGGACTCGCGGTGGGGCCTGGGCCGGGTTGACGCGTTCGAGCAGCTGTGGGGCCTGGTGATGGAGGGTCTGGTGGACGTGATCCTGGGCGGGCCGCCCTGCTCGACCTGGAGTCGGGCCAGGTTTCGGCCAGGATGCCCCGGCCCACTACGACGACGATCGAGGGCGATATGCGCGGGGACTTCCTCGGGGACGGCTGCGCCCCGCCGAGGCGGAGAGGCTAGGCGAGAGCAACCTCCTCATGCTCAGTCGCCCATGGTGGAGTGGCACGCCGGGCAGGCGCCTGTTTGCTGGGGCACCCGGACGACCCCGAGGAGGAGCCGCACACGTCGATCTTCGACGCGGCCGTCTTGATGGGCCCGGAGGAGAGGACAGGAGCAAGGCGCATCGCTTTCGACCAATGCGTGATGGGCGGGCTTTCTCAGAAGCCCACGAGGGTAACGGGTGCCTTTCAGCTGGCGCCGGCCGCCGCGCCGAGGTGCGACGGCTCCCGCGCGCGCGAGAGGAGCTACGGCAAGGTGAGCCGCATCTTCCAGACGACGAAGCTGGCCACCTGACCACCCGCGCTGTGCAGGTGGATAGCAGAGGACATCGCGCGACGTTGGCCGGCTTTGCAGCGAGCGGAGCTGGCCCGACAGGACGCATCAGGGGCGAGACCAAGTTCCCCAGGATCTCGAGCTACTTGAGCACTCTGGAGAATGGCGCCTACCAGTTCCTGAACGAGATCTCCTCACGCGATCGAGGCGCGGTGCAGAGGGGCGGCGACGCGAGCTTCTGCCTTCGCATCGACGACGGGCCGATCGCGGCCTGCGCGGGCGCGAAGGGCCCGGGCGAGGCGAAGGTCAACCGGCTCGTCCACCAGGTGGCCGACGCCTTCGAAAACGTAGGCTTCTTGGTGAAGGACAGGAGGGGGCAAGGCCTGGCGGGCCGCATCGCGGGCTACGAGGTTGAGGCCTGCCCCGCGCGGGCCCGCGGGCCCGCGCGCAAGGCAGCTCTGTTGCACGAGGCGCTGAAGACCATGACGGATTGGGAGTGGGTCCACCTCGACCACTTGGCGACGGTCATGGGCGCGTGGATCTGGGCGGCACTTTCGGCCTGGCACTGGCTGTCCGCCCCGCGGCACCTGTTCCAGTTCACGCGACAGGAGGGGCGCCGCTGGAGGAGGTGGTGGCCTTCTGCGAGACGGGGGGCGATTGCGTTGCAGCGGGGCGCCATGGGGCTCGCGGACATAAGGCCCCACCTGCTGCCGATGGTTTTCGCTTCAGACGCCGAGGTGGCTCAGGGCTTCGACGCGGGCGGCAACGGCGCCGTCGTGGCCGAGGCTGACCCGGAGTGCGTCAAGGGTCTCTGGCGCGCTGGGACACGCTTGGGCGCGGCCATGGCCAAGCCGGGGCATCTGCAGAAGGTGCTGGAGCCCGGGCCTACCTCGCAAGGGCATCACTTGCCAGTCAACGCTGCCCCAAGTGGCCGGGTCGACAGCGAGGCGATCTGGGCGCCCGTGGACGCTGGACGTTGGCGGACGTCCGACCGCGTCGTGGTGGGCGAGGGCCGGGCAGCGTTGATGTGCTCGCGCGCCTGGTTGTCGACCCCGAGGCCAGCTTGGAGGACGACGTGGCCTGCGCGGGTGCTGCCGCGAAGGGTCGATGCACAGATGGCCCAGTCAACAATATGTTGAGGAGGAGGAGGTGCGCCCTGACGAGCGCTACTGACACGCGATTGCACCTCCCCTGGGTGGAGACAGGGCCCCCGCGGATGGCCACCCGAGACGCGGTCAGGGACCAGAGGGGCCCAGCGCCCCAGCGCCGGAAGTGCGGGCGCGCAGCCTGCGCGCAATTCAGAGCTGATACATTAGGGCCCTCGGGTGCCAGATCTCCCGCGCCTGGAGGGCCGAGCGCAAGCCGCGACTTTGCTGATATACCGACGGCGGGCTGCAGAATTTCACCGGTGGTGCGCGGCAGAAGGCGCGAACCCATGGTCCCCGGACGAGTGGGGCGACGCGCTGATGGAATGCAAGTCGGCCGCCGCCCCGCCCAGGAGTCATTTCGCGAGCCTGCTTGCCGCCGTCGAAATTCAAGTTTCCGCGGCTGAGAGGCCGCCACCCCAGATGCCGCGCGGCCTTGCGTGGCTGGGAGCTCGCGCACCAGACCAAGCACACCGCGCCGATGGTCAGCGCAGCTCAGGCATTCGTTAGCGCCCAGCTCAGTGTTCGGCACGCACCTCGCCAAGTTGTTGGCATCATGGTCCAGGGAAAAGTGGGTGCGCATCCTAGCGAGATGTTGGGCATCGCTACCTCCGACCTTGTGTTTCTTGCTGATTCTGGGTGCGAGCGGGGCCGCGCCCCCCTGATCATCGGCCGAGGCATCGAGGCAAACACCGAGGCCAAGAGACCCCAGTCTAACGCCATCGCGGAGGCCCACAACCCCGTCTCGGTCAACATCTTGAGGACTTTGAGGGCTCGCATGGCCTCAGGAGGCCGCCTATTTCCCTACTCCCTGTAGCAGTACCGAAAGCTGTTTAACGCGATCCAGAGCGAATGTAACATGCAGATGGGCTGGGCCCCTCGCAGCCCCCGCGCAGGTTTTGCTTCGGAGGCTAGCGATTGGGGCACGTCTTTCGACCAGATCCGTGAGACGGGCCGCTGGAAAGTAGACAGCTCCCTGAGGGTATACAGTGACATGGTCCAGGCTGCCCATATAGCTGTCGGGCTCAAGGCGGCCGGCTGGGGCCCCGCTCTCGATTGGGCAGCTCGACGTTGGGCCATTTGCACGGCCCGATCACTACGTGGCACCGAAGGGCTCTAAGGGGCTACCCGACGGTTCCTGGCAGTCTCCCTCGGGGCTGGAGCTGGCCAGAGCCGCGACGCAGCCTCCGAGCTCGCATTTTCCGCCATCAGGTTCGCGGGTGCTACCGCCTGGCCTGGGGGCCCCTTCTGCATTCAGCGCGCCATTTTCTACACCGCCACCTTCCTGGCAGTCTACGACATGCGACGGACCGAAAGCCATGGCCCCGACGCCGGTCAAGGCCCCGCCACCAACGCCCAAAGCGCACGGGCGCAAGAGAAGGTGGTGATGGTGGGCGTGGAGGGCGTTCCGTCTTGTCTCCAGCTGCCAGTCTGGCTGCGGGTTTGGCATCCTGATCCTGGCACTGCTGCTGCCCGCCGCGTGGAGCCCACGGCTCGCGCGTTCGGTCACGATCGCGTCGGACATGGCCGAGCAGGTGGGCGAGGCCGCGCGGCGCGCGATGCATGCGGGAGCTAATGCATCTTCGAGCGCAGCCCAGATTTTCTCAGCAATCACAGATAACACCCTTATCTTCGCAGAGACAGTCTGGGAGGGGATTGACCTCACCAGTGTCACCGTCAAGAGCTCCGCCGGCCGCCTCTTTTTCGACGGCAGCGATGACCTCTTGGAGGCCATCCTAGCGCCAAAGGCGCAAGGCTTAATGGCCTTGCCTTCCCACTGGCGCCACTCCCTCGCCCGCGTCCTAGAGCTTTCATCTCCGACCCGACCTCTGGTGGAAGTCCACTGGGATCACTTCTGCAGCAGGGGGCGGTTTACGGCGCTGGAGCTGTGGATGAAGCATTTTGACGTAGGCCATGTGGACCTAGCATGGCGCAGCGCCGAGGCATCCTTCACAGCCTACTGGAACCTCTTCTCGGACATCTCGCCCGAGTACCTGAAGATCGATGCGATGCTGCAAGAGGCTCTTGAGGCCACCATCCCGCAGCCCGACCTGTCGCTGTCCAAGGGCGCCTTGGGCCACGCCCCAGTTCTGGTGGCGCCTTCCTTCGTCATTCGAGCTTGGCGCTGGGTCTGCCGGCTGGCGAGCTGGGCCACAGGGCCACAAGACGGGGGCGTGGGCCCGAGGCTTTCGACGCCGACGTCGGATGACACCGTGGCCGAGGGCATCACGGCCCCCCTCAATGCCGGCCCTCACGACGGCGACAACTCCACAGAGTCGCCGGGCCTGAACATCACTCCGACCGCTAGCGGGGGGCAGGTGGTAGTGAGCGAAGTTACCGAGCGGTTTGGAGCAGGATACCTCTCTGAATGTGCAGTGATTCGTTGGTTCCCAATGTATGAAAGGTGCAGCGGTCGACCGCATATTTTTCAGGTCAGACAAGCTGTCGATGTTGATTATATCATTCGAGGTCTGTGTTGGGAATGTGAAGAGCTCTCTCTTTCATCGTGCGATGGAGTTGTATATACTAGGCGCCGCGCGCTCCCCATATAGCGAGCGCTACGCGCTGAGTAGACTCGGAACTTATCGGGAAGCTCTCCTTGGGCCTGGGCCTCCAAAAGGGTGGGGCCTCCAAAAAGGGTGGAGTCCCTGAATTATGTAGATGCATGTAGGTATGTAAGTATGTAAGTAAGTATGGATGTATGTTTGTATGTATGTTTGTATGTATGTATGTTTGTTTGTATGTATGTTTGTTTGTACACTGTGTGTGTGTCTGTGTGTGTATATATATATATATATATATATATATATATATATATTTGCGTATTCATAACGGCGTACTGGGCCCAGGGGCCTTGGGGCCGCGACCTCGACCGCAAATGTGGGTGCTGGGGGCCTGCCGCGCATTTCGGGGGCCCCAAATCACCCCGGAGGGCCACCAGAGCGCCAGCCAGGCGGCCCGAGATAGCCCCGTGCCATCCCCACGACGGCCTCCAGTGGTCTCTGACGGTCGATGAGACACTCGAGACGCTTCCCGAGGCGCTCAAGGCAGCCCCGGAGAGCTCCGGGATACCCTCCAGGACTCCTCCGCGAAGCCAGACATTGTCCCAAACCGAGATGGAACTCTATGATTTTGACTTCTCACCTTGTCATCTCACATGGGCTAGGCCTCAATATCGCCCCCACGAGGCCCGTTTTGGCTCACGATTCTGGCTCAAGCCATTTTGGCTCACGCTAGACTCGACTCGCGGCCTGGGCCTATTCCCGTACACCCGCTCGCCGTTGGCGTCCAGCCGCCTGCTATCTCTCAGCCATGGGCGAAGAGGAAGTCGCCGCGCTGGTCGTGGACAACGGCAGCGGCATGTGCAAGGCTGGCTTCGCTGGCGACGACGCTCCGCGCGCCGTGTTCCCTTCCATTGTCGGCCGCCCGAAGATGCCAGGAATCATGGTCGGCATGGACCAGAAGGACAGCTACGTGGGCGACGAGGCCCAGAGCAAGCGCGGCGTCCTCACCCTGAAGTACCCCATCGAGCATGGCATCGTGACCAACTGGGACGACATGGAGAAGATCTGGCACCATACCTTCTACAACGAGCTCCGCGTGGCTCCGGAGGAGCACCCAGTCCTCCTCACGGAGGCGCCCCTGAACCCGAAAGCGAATCGCGAGCGCATGACGCAAATTATGTTCGAGACATTCAACGTTCCGGCGATGTACGTCGCGATCCAGGCAGTGCTATCGCTGTACGCCTCTGGCCGCACCACAGGGATCGTGATGGATTCGGGCGACGGCGTGTCGCACACAGTGCCCATTTACGAGGGCTACGCGCTGCCGCATGCGATCCTGCGTCTGGATCTTGCAGGGCGGGACCTCACGGAGTATTTGATGAAGATCCTCACTGAGCGTGGGTACTCCTTCACCACCACGGCTGAGCGAGAGATTGTGCGCGACGTCAAGGAGAAGCTCTGCTACATCGCGCTCGATTTCGACACCGAAATGAAGGTCGCAACTGAGAGCTCCGACAAGGAGAAAACGTATGAACTTCCTGATGGAAACATCATCACTGTGGGCAGCGAGCGCTTCCGGTGCCCAGAGGTGCTCTTCCAGCCCAGCTTCGTTGGCAAGGAAGCCGCTGGCGTCCACGACACCACCTTCCAGTCGATCATGAAGTGCGATGTCGACATCCGCAAGGACCTGTACGCTAACGTAGTGCTGTCCGGTGGCACTACAATGTTCCCAGGCATCGGCGAGCGCATGGCCAAGGAATTAACAGCCCTGGCCCCTTCCACCATGAAGATCAAGGTTGTGGCTCCACCTGAGCGAAAGTACTCAGTGTGGATCGGTGGGTCTATCCTTTCTTCGCTCAGCACCTTTCAGCAGATGTGGATCTCCAAGGGTGAGTATGACGAGTCGGGCCCCACCATTGTGCACAGAAAGTGTTTCTGAGGGTTTGCCCTCAGTATGTTTTGGTAGTGTGACGCGCTGGATCGTTATGCCCACAAGAGGGTTCTGCTCAAGCCAGCCAAGCTAGAATCGTCAGATGTGTTGGATGGAGTTTGTGAGCTTGCCTCACGCCCCAAGGTTCACAGATGGCGCTGGCAGTGTGAATTCGCATTGGCCGCACTAGCGTTCTGAAGTATGTCAGGACAACTGCTGAATCCTTTTCCTTCAGAGCAGTTATTTCCGTTTGCGCAGGCCATATGTTCGGTTCGTTGGCCCTTCTTGTTACAGTTTGCCAGGGGGGTACCACCAGTCTACGGCACAACGGCATGCAATTGGCGGGGACAAAATAAAATGCCCCCCAAGAGTTCCCGAGATGCCCCAAAAAAATTCTAGAGGCCCTCAAGAGGCCTCCGAGGAAGCCCCACGAGGCTTCCAAGAGGCCCCGAAGAGGCCCCTAAGAGGCCCCGAGGAGGCCCCAAGACGCCCCCAAAAAGTTCCCAAGAGGCTCCAAGAACCCCCATGACGCCCCCAAGAGGCCCCCAAGAGGCGTTCAAGAGGACCCTTAGGGGCCCCCCGAACGTCCAGAAACCCCTACATGCCCCCAAGACCCAAGAAGCCCCCAATAGTCTCCAAGACGCCGCAAGTGAGCCCCAACGGCCCCCACACAGCCTCCCGGAGCTGCCAAAGAGGCCTCAAGAGAGTCCCACGACGGCCCCAGAGGCATTCCTATGAACATATTGGGAGCCCACGTAGTCGAGCGTTTCGCAGCTCGCGGTCCCAGGGGACGGCGGTGCCTCATTCTCTTTTGCGTATGACGCCACTCCGCTGGGCCTGCCAGGAGCCTACGAAAGTGGCGATAGTTTCGGAGCCCGCAGCCCCCAGGGACGGCGAGGCTGCATTTTGGTCTGCGTATGACACCACTCCGCTGGGCTTCCCAGGAGCTCACGCACGTGGCGAAAGTCTCGCATTCCGCAGCATCCCCGGGACGGCGAGGCTTCATTCTGGTATGCGCATGACACCACTCAGCTGGACTCTCCCAGGAGCCCACGAAAGAGGCGACAGTGTCGCCGTTCGCAGCCCCCCAGGGACGGCGAGGCCTCCAGTTGGTTTGTGTATGACGCCACTTCGCTGGGCGTCCCACGAGCCCACGAAAGTGGCACAGTTTTGCAGCTCGCAGTCCCCAAGGACGGCGAGGCCTCATTCTGGTCTGCATATGACGCCACTCCGCTGGGCGTCCCAGGGGCCAACGAAAGTGGTTCGTAACCATTTTGGCTCAAGCCAGTTTGGCTCAAGACGTCTTTTCGCGACAGCCCCAGGCCACTCGCCAATCTTCAAACCACCGCAGCTTCCCGAAATGCTTGGGCCAGCTTGACTTCTCGTAATCGCGCTGGCTTCACCCGGCGGAGGCGCCGCGTTGCGCCCTCTTGAGGGCGGTCCGTTCAAAAATAGTGTGAGCAACGTCGACAATGTTTTTTACCCATTGAATGAGAAGCTATACACTGCTGGCGATGTTCTCTTTCACTATGCGTTGAATGGTGAACCCAAGTCAGGGACAACATGGCTCGAACATGTCATCGATCGTATAATCGAACATGGGTGTGACGATGTAAAAACATGCAAGTACAAGAAGACATATCGGACTGATGTAATCCATTTTGATGATGCCAACGACGTGGAGTTTCACTTCGATGACCAGTGCAGGATTCCACCGATCGGGCATTCAGAGAGTTTTGATGTTCCAGAGGCGCCAGATCTCGCTGACGAGCAGATTCGGGATGCTGTCTTAAAGCTGTTACCGCAGGTAGGCTCAAATAAGGGCTGAATTGCTATATTCCGTGATCCGCGTGCAGTGTTGGTATCCACGTGCCACCATTTGGGAAATCAGGATTGCGATGGTTTGGGCGAGCGATAACTTTCGGGCGAGCGTTGCTTGGATCGATTTGCGGTATCGATTCTCCCGCGCCTTTCATTTTTTCGAGCACGCAGGCCGACATCGTCAGTTTTGACACATTTGAAGCATCATTTCGAAAGGGCAGTCTGGCACATCGCAGCATTCATGGGATCTGGTTCTGAGATGAACGTCGATTACGGCAATGCACGGCATGGAGAATCAAGGCCAAGTCCCGAAAGGGGGCGCGCTTGTTAAAGTTCTGACCGGAAACAGCATGTTCGTATCAGGATGAATTGCAATACGCGGCGATGACAGCAATTTCGCACCGAGCATGAGCGTTGAATTGCAAGCTGTGTTTCGATGTTGACAGCCAACGATTCACAGCTCGGGCGGCAATCGGGCCTGCAAGGCAACACTCATCACGCAAACCTATTGGGGCTATTCGCGTCCATTCGTGGTACATGATATGAACGCATGTTGTGCCATCCATGACTACGTTATCTGAGCATTTTGTCGAAGCGTTGTTTGTCGGGACTATTCACATGACGACGTGTTTGCCATCCCCTCTCCGCTTGCGGCTTCAACGTGCTCGCAATCCAAATGTGAATAGCACGTGTCGACATCATGCGCGTTTGTCCAGTCGGTAGGGGTTTTGGCGCGTCGATTGGAGGTCAGACCGTTTTGAGACACAGGGTGGCCGTATAAAAGAAATGAGCCCACGAATGTGGCGACAGTTCAACAGGTCATTGCCCCCAGCGACAGCGAGGCTTTATTCTGGTGTGCGTATGACACGACTCCGTTGGGCCCCCCAGGAACCCGCGAAAGGAGCGGCATTTTCGCAATCCGCGGGCCCCAGTGACGGCGAGGCCTCATTCTGGTCTGCGTATGGCACCACTCCGCTGGGCCTCCCAGGGGCCGACGAAAGTGGCCACAGTCTCTTCGATCGCAGCCCACAGCGTATGACACCACCCCTCTGGGCCTCTTGGGGGCCAACGAAAGTGAGGACAGATTCGCAGCTCGCAGCCCCCAAGGGACGGCGAGGCTTCATTCTGGTATGCGTGTGATACCACCCCTCTGGGCCTCCTGGGGGCCAACGAAAGTGGGGGCAGTTTTGCAGTTCGCAGCCCCCAGGGGCGGCGAGGTCTCATTCTTGTCTGCGTACGACACTACTCCGCTGGGCTTCCTGGGGGCCAATGAAAGTGGTGACAGTCTCGCAGATCACCCAAACAACGAGCATTTCAGAGAAGCCCCAAGATCGGCACAAGACAGCTCAACGATCGCACGAACCGACCTCCCAATGGCCGCCCCTTACGTTTGAGGTGCGAAGGGTTGCGTTGCATGTCATCTGCGTTCCGAGTTTCCTTGTGATTATTTGCGTTGAGTTGCAATGCATTGCATGACCGCTGCATGTCATTTCCACGATGATGCTTGGACTCGCGCTGCCATTGCGACGTGTCATTACATGTGTTGGCTTGCATGGCTGCGCATTGAATGTGCCTGTGTGTACCATTGTCCTTTGCACGTCATAGTTCGGTCCGCGTGACTCATACTTCTTCAGTTCATGTGCGTCCCAGTTGGATATGTGAGCTTATCGAGGGCTGGGGCTTGCTAGAACTTACGCGCTCGAATCGCGCGCGCGTGTGGTTCTGCTCTCTCTCTCTATATATATATGTATGTAATACAACTGTATGTGTATATCGTTCTCTTCCTCTTTTTCCTTCTCCTGGCTGCCGTTGCGCCGTTGATTGAAATGCAAATGTCTCTCTCGGTCTCTCTCCCTCTGTCTCCCCTTCATGGCTGCCCTTGCGCCGTTGGCTTCTTCTTCGTCTCTGTCTCTTTTTTTGTTTTTTTGTTTCTCTCTCTCTCTCTTTCTATCTGTGTCTATATATATCGTTCTCTCTCGCTCTCCATCGCGGAAGCGTCGTCATCCTCGCAACTCCGTCTTTAGGGTGCATTCGCGAGCGCTAGCGTCTGGTAGTCGATGGGATCCGGATCAGCGCCGGCTCGCAAGAGCCAACAAGATGGTACGGGAGGCTCCCGTGAGTTGCCATGGAACGTTCTCTCCCTCTCTCTCGCCCTCCTGGCTGCCTCTCTGCCGTTGATCGGAGGGCACCAACTATACACCAACACCGATCCTGGCCCAGGATCACCCTGCGCCCAGGATCGGTGTATATGCCTTCTTGCGCAAGGCAGGAGGGCGTATACACCGATCCTGGGCCCAGGGTGATCCTGGGCCAGGATCGGTGTTGGTGTATAGTTGGTGCCTTCCTAGTTGACTAAAATGCCTGACTGGGTCGCTGGGGCCCCGCACACCGCACCTCTGTCTCCCTTCCCGGCCCGCATCCTCCTCCGCTCTGCCGCGCCTCCAGGAGCAACGACAGAGGAGTCCAAGCTGAACGAAGGATTGCAATCCTGCAATCCTGCAATCCTTCGGTTTTTTTTGCAATCCTTCGTCCAAGCAATCCTTCGTCCAAGCAATCCTGCAATCCTTCGGTTTTTTTGCAATCCTTCGCCCCGCAGTCTCCTCCCCACAGCCGGCGGTCGCGCAGCATCCCTCCCAGAGGCTTCCCGTCACGCCGTCCGAACGCCCGTGGCGAGGTCGGCCAGCGCGCAGCCTGCCTGCGACGCAGCCGTGGCATCGCCCTCCTCGTGGCACGAGGTCTTTGGCACAGTGGCGAAGGCCTGCGGCCTGTGGCCCCCTGCGTCGCAGAGTGGTCGGGGTACGCACGAGAGGCGATCGGCTCGCGTGTCTGGTCTTGGACGCCAGCGTGCGCACCTGTGTGTCTGCGGCGATCCCTACTGATCGTCGACGACGCCTGCGGCGGATCACCGGCACCTCGTGCCCATGCGGAGCCGCAGGGCACTCGTGGCCAAAGAGCGACATGAGGCTCGCTCGACGGTGGTTGAGTTCTTGCTACCCGAAGTGTCGCGGAGGCGCTTGGGGGAGCACACGCGGTCCGCAGTGACGTGCAGTCTTGGAGTTTTGTTCGTGTGCCCTTGTGAGGCCCTCTTGGGCGGTCTTCGGGGCTTCCCTGACTACCCGAGCTGTCTTGGGGCTCTCTTGGGGCTCTCTTCGGCCACCGTGTGGCTCGCTCTGACCGTCAAGAGCGCATCAAGATTCTTCGGTGGCCCTCCTCCTCCTCCTCCTCATCTTTCTCTCCTTTTTTTCTTGCGTTGAGCGGCCATTAAGTGCTATGCTTGCTGCGTCCTCCTCCTCCTCGTCCTCCTCATGCTCCCTTCCCGAGGATTCCAATCCAGACCCCTTCGAGTCATGAAAAAATCACGGAAAATCACGGCGGCAGGTTTTTCGTTAGTTTCGGCCTCGGGGGGGGGGCCCTTGGCCTCGGGACCTTCAAAAAACTACTCAGGATGAAACGCCAGCTCCAGGGAACAGGTCGAGACTGCCGGGGGAGTGGTCCGGGAAGGCCCCCCCCACGGCCTCCAGAGCACCCCATCACGAGGCCAAGAGGAGCTCCAGAATGGAGCGAAAAGCTGGGGACACCTTGGGCAAGGGCACCTTTATGAAGGGGCCCAGGGACACACACACACACATCCCAGGATTCTTAATCTTTTGCTGTATTTTCTTGATTTTGGTAGTCCCCCCCACTTCACATATGTTTCAGTTGTTGACGCTTCGCGTATCCCCACCAGCCCATCCAGAAACGATGCCCAGGGGAGTTGAGGTGATCAGGGAAGTCGGGGAGCCTGCAGAATAACAAAGGGCAGGGGAAGCTGTCACGTACCCCAAGAGGGGGAGGATGGAGAAGGAATCCTCGTCGGAGGGGGAGGGGGAGGAAGAGGAGGAGGAGGAGGAGGAGGAGAATGAGGAGGAGGATGTGGAGTAGGGAGAGGACGAGGAGGACGAAGAAGGAGGAATAATCGGAGGAGGAGGAGGGGAAGGAGCTTCTTGGGGGTCTTTTGAGAGCCTCTTGGAGGACTCTTGGGCGCCTCTTGGGGCATCCTGGGCGCCTCTTGGGACCCACTTGAGGCGCTCTAGGGAGCCTTCGGGGCGCTTTGGGGGCCATCTTGGAGGGAGTCGATCAAACAAAAGGGGGGGTTCAATTAGCCTCCCCCCTCAGGAGCTCCAAAAATCCCCTCTTGGGCCCCTCTGGGAGCGTTCTTGGAGCGCTCTTGGGCGCTCTTGGGGCCGTCTTGGGGCTCTCTTGGGCCTCTCGTGGGGCCCTCTTGGGCCATCTTGGAGCCATCTTGAGGCCTCGGATGGCCATCGGAAGCGAAAAGGCGAGAAAGCCAAACACATTGAGGTTTTGGGACGATTTTGGGCCTCGTCGGGGCCTCGTCGGGGAACTCTTTGGCCTCTTGGAGCCGTCTTGGGGAGGTCTTGGGGTCTCTTGGAACATCTTGGGAGCCATCTCGAGCGATCTTGCGCTATCTTGAGCCATCTTGGAGCTCATCTTGGGCTCTCTGACGCGCTCTTGAAGCCATCTTGGGGCCAAAAGAGCCGTCCGACACCTCGCGGCCCGCCCCGCACAGGTCCAGGGGAGGGGGTAGGGGGAGGGGTAAACCCCTCCCCAAGGGGGAAGAGGGAGGGGTGGAAGAGGATCTGCTCTAGACCACCTGCGCCCAGAGGGCTGGTGGGATTTTTTCTTGGGAGTCGAAGATTCTTGGTGTATGTGTTGTTGCTCCTTCCTGACTTTTAAGCTCCCCGAGCAGAGCACGGCCGCTACTTCCGCGGCGCCCTCCTCGCCCCTGGTCGGCTCCTCCCCAGCGGCATGGGAGGGCCTCTCACACTGCCGCCCTCTGCCCTCCTCCTCCTCCTCTTCCTCCTCCACCTCCTCCTCCTCCTCCCCCACCTCCTCCTCCTCCTCCTCCTCCTCCTCCTCTTCCCTCCTCTCCTCCTCCTCCTCCTCCTCCCCTCCTCCTCCTCCTCCTCCTCCTCCTCCTCCTCCTCCTCCTCCTCCTCCTCCTCCTCCTCCTCCTCCTCCTCCTCCTCCTCCTCCTCCTCCTCCTCCTCCTCCTCACCTCCTCCTCCTCCTCCTCCTCCTCCTCCTCCTCCTCCTCCTCCTCCTCCCTCCTCCTCCTCCTCCTCCTCTCCTCCTCCTCCTCCTCCTCCTCCTCCTCCTCCTCCTCCTCCTCCTCCTCCTCCTCCTCCTCCTCCTCCTCCTCCTCCTCCTCCTCCTCCCTCCTCCTCCTCCTCTCCTCCTCCTCCTCCTCTCCTCCTCCTCCTCCTCCTCTCCTCCTCCTCCTCCTCCCTCCTCCTCCTCCTCCCCCACCTCCTCCTCCTCCTCCTTCTCCTCCTCCTCCTCCTCCTCCTCCTCCTCCTCCTCCTCCTCCTCCTCCTCCTCCTCCTCCTCCTCCTCCTCCTCCTCCTCCTCCGGCGCGCCCCTCTAGCGCGCCTCGCTCCCAACGCGCGCTCCGAGGCGACGACGGGGCGCCGGCCAGGCCCAAGCGGCCCGAGCGGAGGCAGCCGAAGAAGCCCGCGGCGAGGCCGTCGCCCTTTGGCGCGCCGGGCGCGGCGCCAGGCGCGCCGCCGCGGCCGCACGGGTGAGGGAGGAGGGAGGAGGGAGGGAGGAGGGGAGGAGGGGAGGAGGGAGGAGGAGGGGGAGGAGGGAGGAGGAGGGGAGGGAGGGAGGAGGGGAGGAGAGGAGGAGGGAGGAGGGAGGGAGGAGGGGAGGAGAGGAGGAGGGAGGAGGGAGGGAGGGGGGGAGGAGGGGAGGAGGGAGGAGGGAGGGAGGAGGGGAGGAGGGGAGGAGGGAGGAGGGAGGGAGGAGGGAGCAGGCGGCTCTCTCAGGGGCGGCCTGACCGAAACTTAGCAGACCATCCCCATCTTCGGTTTCAAATCATGGGGGCCCTGTGTACCCTCGCAACCCCCGTGTTAGAGTGCGTTAGCGTCGACTAGCGTCTGGTAGTCGATGATTCAGCGCCAATTCAGCGTCGATTCGCTTCGATTTAGCATCGACCAGCGTCGATTAACGTCGGTTCGCAAGCGTCGAAACGCCAGCGCCGCAATGGGTACGGAAAGAATTGGTAGGACGCCCAACAGCAGATCTTGCTCCTCTCGAGCCGGGATATCGCTGCCCGCGCCGCCACGGACGATGTGCACCGAAGACAGAAAGCCGCCTGTCCGACAGCGGCCGCTGTCGGTTTGGGACAACATCTGTTGTTGGGCATTGTCCCTCGTTTTCCCCATATCCTAAGATGGTTTTTTTGTTCCCCATATCCTAAGATGGGGTTCTTGTTATTATTCGGACGCCGCCGACTCCAGAGAACCACAGAAAACACACCTACTCATACACAGACTTACTCATACTCAGACCTACTCATACTCATACCTTCTCATGGTCTGACTTACTTAACACACAACATGCAGGCCTACTCATACTCAGACTTACCCATGATGGGACTCCTTCGTACCCAGACTTACTCATAGCCAGACTCGTTCCCAGACCTGCTCATACACAAACTTACTCATACTCAGACGTACACATACTCAGACCTTCTCATAGTTTGCGTTTTTCAACGCACGAAATGCGACCTACTCATACTCAGACCTAGTCATACTCTGACTCGCAAGGGGGGCCGCCAGGGATGTTTTCACGGGCCCGTTCGCGGCCAGTTTGTGGGGATGTCTCATGCGGTTAGGTCGTTTTCATGTCCAACATCCTAGGCTTTCAGAGCAGATGTTGAGGATGTCTCAGGCGGGGCGCTGGCTATACCACCCTTAAGGGGACCGCCAAGGGTGTTTTCACGGGCCCGTTCGCGACTAGTTAGTGGGGATGTCTCATGCGGTTAGGTCGTTTTCATGTCCAACATCCTTAGCTTTCAGAGCAGATTTTGAGGATGTCTCAGGCGGGGCGCTGGTTTCAGCACCCTTAATGGGAGCCGCCGGCGGTGTTTTCAAGGGCCCGTTCGCGGCCAGTTTGTGGGGATGTCTCAGGCGGTTTGTTCGTTTTCATGCCCACCAAGCATCCCTAAAGAGAGCCGCCAGGGGGTAGGACACGGGCCCATTCGCGGCCATTTTGCGGGGATGTCTCAGGCGGTTTGCTCGTCAGTGCGCTCATGAACAGACGCTCGTTATGGCATGACATAATACATGATATACACATATGGGGAGCTCCACGCAGTGAGTAATTATTATTCGGGCGCCGCCGGCTCCAGAGAGAACACACCTACTCATACACAGACTTACTCATACTCAGACCTACTCATACTCGTACCTTCTCATGGTCTGACTTACTCAACACACAGCATGCAGGCCTACTCATACTCAGACTTACCCATGCTGGGACTCCTTCGTACCCAGACTTACTCATAGCCAGACTCGTTCCCAGACCTGCTCATACACAAACTTACTCATACTCAGACGTACACATACTCAGACCTTCTCATAGTTTGCGTTTTTCAACGCTCGAAATGAGACCTGCTCATACTCAGACCTAGTCATACTCAGACTCGCAAGGGGAGCCGCCAGGGGTGTTTTCACAGGCCCGTTCGCGGCCAGTTTGTGGGGGTGTCTCAGGTGGTTTGATCGTTGTCATGCCCAACACCCTTTGCTTTCAGAGCAGATTTTGAGGATGTCTCAGGCGGGGCGCTGGTTTCAGCACCCCTGAGGGGAGCCGCCAGGGGTGTTTTCACGGGCCCGTTCGCGGCCAGTTTGTGGGGATGTCTCAGGCGGTCTGCTCGTTTTCATGGCCATCATCCTTGGCTTTCGGATCAGATTTCGAGGATGTCTCAAGCGGGGCGTTGGTGTCAGCACCCCTAAGGGGAGCCGCCAAGTGTGTTTTCACGGGCCCGTTCGCGGCCAGTTTGTGGGGATGTCTCATGCGGTTAGCTCGTTTTCATGTCCAACATCCTTAGCTTTCAGAGCAGATTTTGAGGATGTCTGAGGCGGGGCGCTGGTTTCAGCACCCTGAAGGGGAGCCGCCAGCGGTGTTTTCACGGGCCCGTTCGCGGCAAGTTTGTGGGGATGTCTCAGACGGTTTGCTCGGTTTCATGCCCACCACCCTTGGCTTCCAGGGCAGATTTTGAGGATGTATCCGGCGGGGCGCTGGTTTCAGCACCCCTAAGGGGAGCCGCCAGCGGTGTTTTCACGGTCCCGTTCGCGGCCAGTTTGTGGGGATGTATCAGGCGGTTTGCTTGTTTTCATGCCCAACGTCCTTGGCTTTCAGAGCAGATTGTGAGGATGTCTCAGGCGGGGCGCTGTTTCCAGCACCCCTAAGGGGAGCCGCCAGGAGTGTTTTCACGGGCCCGTTCGCGGCAAGTTTGTGGGGATGTCTCATGCGGTTTGCTTGCTTTCATGCCCAACACCCTTTGCTTTCAGAGCAGGTTGTGAGGATGTCTCAGGCGGGGCGCTGGTTTCAGCACCCCGATGGGGAGCAGCCATGGGTGTTTTCACGGTCCCGTTCGCGGCCAGTTTGTGGCGATGTCTCCAGCGGTTTGCTCGTTTTCATGCCCAACCTCCTTTGCTTTCAAAGCAGATTGTGAGGATGTCTCTGGCGGGGCGCTTGTTTCAGAACCTCTAAGGGGAGCCGCCAGGGGTGTTTTCACGGGCCCGTTCGCGGTCAGTTTGTGGGGATGTCTGATGCGGTTAGGTCGTTTTCATGCCCAACATCCTTTGCTTTCAGAGCAGATGTTGAGGATGTCTCAGGCGGGGCGCTGGCTATACCACCCTTAAGGGGACCGCCAATGGTGTTTTCACGGGCCCGTTCGCGACTAGTTTGTGGGGATGTCTCATGCGGTTAGGTCGTTTTCATGTCCAACATCCTCAGCTTTCAGAGCAGATTTTGAGGATGTTTCAGGCGGGGCGCTGGTTTCAGCATCCTGGAGCCGCCGGCGGTGTTTTCAAGGGCCCGTTCGCGGCCAGTTTGTGGGGATGTCTCAGGCAGTTTGTTCGTTTTCATGCCCACCAAGCATCCCTAAAGAGTGCCGCCAGGGGGTAGGACACGGGCCCATTCGCGGCCATTTTGCGGGGATGTCTCAGGCGGTTTGCTCGTCAGTGCGCTCATGAACAGACGCTCGTTATGGCATGACATAATACATGATATACACATATGGGGAGCTCCACGCAGTGAGTAATTATTATTCGGGCGCCGCCGGCTCCAGAGAGAACACACCTACTCACACACAGACTTACTCATACTCAGACCTACTCATACTCATACCTTCTCATGGTCTGACTTACTCATCAAACAGCATGCAGGCCTACTCATACTCAGACTTACCCATGCTGGGACTCCTTCGTACCCAGACTTACTCATAGCCAGACTCGTTCCCAGACCTGCTCATACACAGACTTACTCATACCCAGACGTACACATACTCAGACCTTCTCATAGCTTGCGTTTTTCAACGCACGAACTGAGACCTGCTCATACTCAGACCTAGTCATACTCAGACTCGCAAGGGGAGCCGCCAGGGGTGTTTTCACGGCCCCGTTCGCGGCCAGTTTGTGGGGGTGTCTCAGGTGGTTTGGTCGTTGTCATGCCCAACATCCTTTGCTTTCAGAGCAGATTTTGAGGATGTCTCAGGCGGGACGCTGGTTCCAGCACCCCTAAGGGGAGCCGCCAGTGGTGTTGTCACGGGCCCGTTCGCGGCCAGTTTGTGGGGATGTCTCTTTCGGTTTGTTTGTTTTCATGCCCAACATCCTTTGCTTTCAAAGCAGACCGTGAGGATGTCTCAGGCGGGGCGCTGGTTACAGCAACCCTGAGGGGAGCCGCCAGGGGTGTTTTCACGGGCCCGTTCGCGGCCAGTTTGTGGGGATATCGCAGGCGGTTTGCTCGTTTTCATGGCCATCATCCTTGGCTTTCAGAGCAGATTCCAAGGATGTCTCGAGCGGGGCGTTGGTGTCAGCACCCCTAAGGGGAGCCGCCAGCGGTGTTTTCACGGTCCCGTTCGCGGCCAGTTTGTGAGGATGTCTCATGCGTTTTGCTCCTTTTCATGTCCAGCATCCTTAGCTTTCAGGGCAGATTTTGAGGATGTCTCAGGCGGGGCGCTGGTTTCAGCACCCTGAAGGGGAGCCGCCAGCGGTGTTTTCACGGGCCCGTTCGCGGCAAGTTTGTGGAATGTCTTAATCGGTTTGCTCGTTTTCATGCCCACCACCCTTGGCTTCCAGGGCAGATTTTGAGGATGTCTCCGGCGGGGCGCTGGTTTCAGCACCCCTAAGGGGAGCCGCCAGGGGTGTTTTCACGGTCCCGTTCGCGGCCAGTTTGTGGGGATGTATCAGGCGGTCTGCCCGTTTTCATGCCCAACATCCTTTGTTTTCAAAGCAGAATTTGAGGATGTCTCAGGCGGGGCGCTGGTTTCAGCACCCCTAAGGAGAGCCGCCAGGGGGTAGGACACGGGCCCGTTCGCGGCCATGTTGCGGGGATGGCTCAAGCGGTTTGCTCGTTTTGATGCTGCGAGGAAAAAGGTGAGGCGTGCTGCTCCCTTGGGTCGTGCTCTGGCACGTACCATCTGGGACGCACGGAGGAAGGAATCGATGAGTGCTGGTTCAGGAGATGGTCAACGCGAGGATGCGGCCTGG